TGATAGTGGTCTTTCTTCCAAGTAGATGCTACCATAATGTTTTAAAAAATATATTTCTTTAGTAGTAACTAGACAGTGATAGTGGTCTTTCTTCCCAGCAGATGCTACCATAATGTTAAAAAAAATATTTCTTTAAAAGGCCAATAGAGGCTGGGCATGGTGGCTCATGCCAATAATCTTAGCACTTTAGGAGATGGAGGTGGGAGGATCGCTTGAGGCCAGGAGTTCAAGATCAGCCTGGGAAACATGTTAAGACCCCAATATTTAAAAATTAGTTGGGTGTGGTTGTACGCGCCTGTAGTCCCAGGTATGTGGAAGGCTGAGACAGAAGGATTGAGCCCTGGAGTTTGAGGTTGTAGAGAGCTATGATGATGCCATTGCACTCCAGCCTGAGTAACAGTGAGACCTTGACTCAAAAACAAAGGCGAAATAGACTCTCATGAAGCATACACTGGTGTTTAGACTCAAATACTCTGAAACATGAGAAACTGCTTTATTGTTAGGAATATAATATTCTCCTAATAGTTAAAATAGTGAATTTAAAAAGGAAACTCAAATTTCTTAAGCAGTGTTTACAAGAATATATGGAAACAAAATCTTGTATGGTAGGCAGAATGTCCCCCGCAAAAGAAGTCCACATCCTAACCCTTGGAACCTGTGAATATTTTACCTTGTATGGCAAAGGGAAGTAAAATTGCAGATGGAATTTAGGAGTGTATTTTGGCTTATCAGGTGGGCCCAGTGTTGATGGGTCCTTAAAGGAAGAGGGAGACATAAATGGTCATATTAATGTGACGTGGGAAGGGCTCAACCCAGCTGTTGACTTTGACAATGAAATGAAGGAAGGGGACCTGGGCCAAGGAATGCACGCAGCCTCTAGAAACTGGGAAAGGCAAGGGCAGTTCTCTCCTGGAACCTCCAGAAGAAATCCAGTCAGCTCTCAGTGATTTTGACCCAGTTTGACCTATATTAGCCTTCTGAACTATAGAAATGTAATAAGATAATAAATTTGTTTTATACCACTGATTTAATGGTAATAATATGGCAGCAGAAGGAAACTAATTTAAGTGAATTCTGAAATTGGAATTTTTTTTAAACTACATTAGGTCATTTAATAAATAATTTGTCTCTAAATGTGTTTGCAGATGTCGCCGTGTGTTGATAGCTCAACATTTTGATGAAGTATGGAACTCAGACGCATGTAACAAAATGTGTGATAACTGCTGTAAAGATACTTGTGAGTTCATTATTAAAAACCTGTATAGGTTAATACAGTTGTACGTAATTTATCTACAGGGATATAGTTTTAGAAATTTGTCAATTGGTGATTTTGTCCTTGTGCAAACTGATAAGAACCTAGATGGTATGGCCTAACACACCTTGGATGTCACAGAGGCTATAGCACCTAGCCTACAAACCTGTACGGTATGTTACTATACTGAATATTGTAGGCAACTGTAACATGATGAGAAGTACTAAAAAAGGTACTGTAAAAATATGGTTTTATCATCTCATGGGACCATATGTGGTCTGTTGTTGACTGAAAAATCATTATTTGTGAGGGAAGTATACCCCGAAATGGACTTAAAAGATTTAATGAAGTGTGAATAGTTTTCCAGGGTCAAAAATACCAACACAAAGTTTTGAAACAAAGGTAAATAAAAGGAAACATCATGTGTTTGCATACATTTTTTATTGCTATTTTGAGGATATGACATTTTAAAGTAATGAAATAAACTAATTCCTCTGAATAGAAATGCCATTATATAAGAAAAGGCTTACCTTATAATAAGCTCTAATACAGCGGTTCTCAACCTTCCTAATGCTGCAACCCTTTAATACAGTTCCTGTGGTCATGACCCACAGGTTGAAAACCGATGCTGAATACCTTATAGTCACTGATTGGGAAGAAAATTTAGAGCAAAATAGAAATTATAGTGAATCATTTTTGATCCAGATAATGGTTGCCTATTCATAAGAAATTAACCAGTCTTTCAGCACTGTCTTTTAACTTTTTTCTACCCCATATGTATGTATTATATCTGAAGAGCTGGAGTAGCTAGCTCCTCATGGAAGACCTGAGTTCTGATGCATTGGTGGATAGAGGCCAGCCAGTATATTTTTAGCCAGTATGTTTTTAGCTTTGCAGCTAAATAAACTTAAGAATTTATCAGACTATCTTATGCTGACCAAATTAACAAGAATCAGATGTATAAATCAGAGTGTTACTCTTAATTAGTAATTGGGGATATCTGTCTAGGACACCCTTGTTGCTAAATCAAAGTATCAGGAACTCACACTAGTTTCAGGACTTTGCTTAATAAGTGTGAATCAGATAAGTAAGTATGAGGAATAGACTGGTTACTAAGCACACCTCTTGGTAACTTAAATAAGTATATCTAATGATTCTTAGAGCATATGGCGAGCCTTGTAATAACCAGGTGTTTGTTTCCTCCACATCACTGTAAACCCCACAATGTGTTACAGAAACTATAACTTGGTCTAGTGACAGAGATTTGAGGAGTAGCTTAGTCTTAATTCAGAATACGTTAAAAACAATTCAGGTTTTAGGGTGGTTCATGCTGATAACTAGTTTTAAACCAGTTTAACTACTTAGGATATCTTATCTTTGCCCTCATTTCTAAATACCAATTGCTTATAACCATGTCTCTTTCATTTGTAGCATTTGAAAGAAAAAATGTAACACAGTATTGCAGAGATCTAATCAAGATCCTGAAGCAGGCAGAGGAAATGAATGAAAAACTCACTCCATTGAAGCTGATTGATTCTTGGATGGGAAAGGGTGCAGCAAAACTGAGAGTAGGAGGTGTTGTTCCTCCCACACTTCCTCGTGAAGACCTGGAGAAAATCATTGCACACTTTCTTCTACAGCAGTATCTTAAGTATATACAAACCCTTTTCTTGTCCATTCAAGTTTCCTTTATGATTGTTTCTTCTTCAATTGCAGCAGAATAAATGGGTTCACATGAACTTTTTAATGCTATAGAAAATACCTAATAAACTGTGATAGTGTAAGTCAAAAAGGAACCAAACCAAAATACTTTCTATGAACATTGTATTTGCATTCTTACAAGTTGTATTATTTCAAATTAGTGTTATTTAAAATTATTTCACACATTGTTATTTCTTTGGTAAATTTCGGAACACTCCTTTCTGATTGTTGGCCTTTATCTTCTGCAGAGAAGACTACAGTTTTACAGCGTATGCCACCATTTCGTATCTGAAAATAGGACCTAAAGCCAATCTTCTGAACAGTGAGGCCCATGTTATTACTATGCAAGTAAAGCCCACCCAGAACTGTTTCAGGGTAACTACCTATTAACTTTCTGTTGTATGTATTTAAAAATATGTATTAAAGACTATGGGATGCTTTCCTGTAGTACTTCTCTAGATCTAGCTGAACACTTCGATTCTGGGTATAGAAAAGAGAAACATTTTCTGTGGAGATAGTGAAAAAATTTAGACTAGCCTTTTCACATAGACAAGGGGTTTTCTGGTCTCTTGGAATATGAGGAGTCCATTTGAATGTCTGAGTTTGTGGTGGACCCTCCCCTCTTGGTATTAGTTGTAATCATTACTGGTTGAGAAGTCTGTCTGTGCTACTCCAGAGGTTGAAAACCACTGTTATAAACCAAGCACTATCAAGTCTGCAAAAGGCTGCCAAGTGTATAAGATACTTTGGGCGTTTTTTAGAGCTTTTCTGATGGTATAGTTCCTTTTATTCACTATAGAACTTCCATTTGAGTAGAAATTTGGAGATAAAAAACTAGACCCTTGGATACTTAAAGAATTAACTGATACTGAAGGAATGTTTTGAAATTATTAATCTTATGAGAAAACTGACTGAGTTTTTATTAGGGTGTTTTGTTATTGTTTTTGTAGGTTGAAGCATCTCAAACCAGTCACTCTGAACAACCTGATAAAAAGGAAGAAAAAAATTCAGGTAACTTCCAGAAGAAGGCTGCAAACATGCTTCAGCACTCTGGTTCTAAGAATACAGGGGCTAAGAAAAGAAAAATCGATGATGCCTGAAATGAGCATTACTATTACTTCCCAAGAAAAGAATAGTTTTTGCATGTTTACACCATTATTTTTGTAGTTAATCACTTTTAAAAACAGTGTCATTGCTATCTTATACATACAGAGCTATATTTTCAGAACTTATCTCTGGAGATTTGAGATTTTGAGAACTTGAAAATTGGAGATCATGAATTAGCTAATTTTACAGCATGAGACAAGGGAAAAATAATTTTTATGTAAAATCCTTGAGAATAAGTTCACATCATTAAGTTCTTTATGCTTTAATATACTTAGTTGCTTTTTTTGGATATAACTATCTTTTTTATAGCAATACTATATACTGACAGAAGCTCATCATTAAATGAGTAATATCTGAAGCTATATAATGTAGATAATGTGTTATAAAACCAATTTCAGAAACAGCATAAAAACAAGAAGGCATCAATACAAATACCAGCAAATGAGACACTGTTGCATCTCTATTTAATAGAGTAAAATACTACAAGATTTCTGAAAACCCAATCCTATTTTGACATTTCACAAAGAATGGCTCTCATCTACCAGAAGCAAGCTAGCCAACAATCTTTGCTGGCATCACTGCCTGAGCTCCACCTCCTAACAAATCTGCTCCTTAAGTCTGTGGAAAAACTGTCTTCCATGAAACCAGTCCCTGGTGCCTTAAAAGGTTGGAAAAATGCTATAGTAGGGGACATTTTGGTTAAGTAGATAACTTAGCTAAATTTGCTCCAAAGCGAAATCACAGGTGAACATGTTTTAAGTTTCAAACAGAAATGGATAACTGAAGACTTACTATATAATTTATAAATGGTCACTTTTGTATTAGAAAATACATCTATGAATAAATGATCTGAACTGGTAGGCTTTAATTTTTTTATACTTTTCACTAACATCATTATCACCTCTGTCCTCTTAATGTCGTTGTGGTCATGAACTGAGTTCAGTCATTCCTTTCATTTACTTGTGATTTTTCTCGTCTCATTTGGACACTCGTGTGATTCTTGAAGGCATTTTCTTCTTAGTCAAAATAATCTTCTATATCAATATTTGGATCTAGCAGATCTTCTCCATATTGTGAAAGATTCATTTGGTTTAAAATCAAGTTTTCAAAGGTTTCTTCTAAATCCGTTTCACCAATTAAGACAGCTCCCATCATCCGCCCATTCTGCATGACCACTTTGATATATTCTTGTCCTTTGGTGCATCTCAGCATTAATTCATGATCTGAACCTAAGCCCTGTGCATTGTATTTTCCCAGCAATACAACCTAAATATAGGGATAAAAAAGTTATTCTTGTGAGTGCCAAAAAGAAAACATGATGTGTTGTTATTCTGTGTCATGCTAGAATAGCCAGCAGAAAAATTATTCAACAAAATTTTACAGCTAAAAAGGGTTATTGTGGAGGGGTCCAAAGAAACACTAGAATGGCATGCAATTCTACAGGTTAAAAATAACATTAAAAATATCTAGAGAACATATAAATATGTGTAATAAGATACAGGTTACATTAGCCTAGAGTCAGTGTTTAAAGATTTAATATGGAAATGAACAGATCTTTCATAAACACAGTACTTAATTTCCCTAAGCCTTGTGAAAGTTTCTCCTTATCTGTAAATTAGGAAGAAAAAGCTTGCTGCAGGGTAACATAAAAAGGATTAAATAAAATAACAAGTATGGGATAACACCTAAGCTTATTCTTGAGTATAACAGCTGTTAGTTCCTCTCATACAGAAAGGATGAATCTCAAGTAAAAGTTAGAACTGCACAACAGAGAACAAATACTGGAGGGAGATTTTTTTTTCTCATCTATAAAATACAATAGTGATAAGTTTGGTAATAATTATCAGATGATCCTCACACCTTAATTCCTAACTAAGATCCGCAGTACTATCAGGTATTTTATTTGCATAATATGAAAAAATATCATTGTTTTATAAAGATTAAAACCATCCAAATTTGTATTCCAGTGAGAAACTTAGATGATCTATGAGAGTTATATCTATCTTACCTTATAGTTAAAAAATTTTGTTACGTGAGCAAACAATTCAAAGCTGAAATCCATGTCAATTGATTCTCCTAAACTGGCTGCAGCCATACACTTTGCTGCATACCATCCCATCTGTCTGGCTTGAGTCCACAGCCGCATCTGAAATAATGAAAACATGTCATACACTAGCATTTCTCATGATCATTATTTGAAAAATGTTACCATTTTGCTTTGTAAATTCTCTTAGAGGGGTTACGTGTTTGACACTATCATTTTTGCTATAAAAGTTAGCCACCAGTGCACCCTAATCAGACTGGTTTTGGAATTTTTGAATTCTATCTAAATTACTACATCTAAAATTGAAAGATTGACTCACATCATATGTTTTAATATAATTTCTATTAAATAGCATGAAAATATTTTAAGTTACACCAGGTGAGAAACACATTTTAACTAACCAGTCCCCTCTTCGAAGTCTGTCATCGTAATAGAGATGCTAAACTATCACTAAAAAAATTGTTCTGTTTTCTAGTCACCTGCATTTTTAAGCATTAACTAATTAAGGCCCACTGCATAATTACTGCAATGGTCAGACCAGTTGGTGCCCAGCCCCAAGATACCTTATTAGATTTCAGAAACTGATTCTGGCAAATCATTTAGATTTTTCCCCATAGTAGCATTAATTTCCCCTCTGTTGTATTTTTATTTTATGTCTACAAAGTTTTGGGCTTCTCTGTATAAGACATTACTGGCTTTGGGAGTCCCAGTGGATCTGAATATCAACTCTTCTGCATATTAAGGTTTTCTGAGCTTTAGTTTCTTCACCTGAAATGAACATAACACCACCTACCCCATGGCTGTTAGGAAAATTCAATAGCTTAGACTATAAGAAGCAATTAGTCTTCTTCCACCCCTGTGTGTGTGTATATGTACCCAATGCTGTCTTTTGTGCAAAAATGCCGTAATCGTGGACATGAGCTTTGAGCATTTCTAGTTGAAGTGATGATGTTTTTATTTAGTCCCCTCTCTGTAAACAAGATAGATTTGATGATGTGAAAGGCAGTCTATGGCAAAGAAGCAGAATAAAGTGAGCATAGTAACAACTTGAGAACAGCTAACAGAACTGGCCTGCAGCAAGTTTGCATCTTGGACTATGTAAAAATAAATTGCTAATGCATCCTAGTTGGGTGCTAATTAATTAAGAAGTAGGGTCTAATTATAATGGATTTACTCAAAATGACGGATACCTGTTTAGTTTTGGATATTTCTTCCCTGCATCAGATTATAATACACATTACAGAAATAATTTATTCTAGAGGGTTTTAAAATGTTAAAAAGAATTCCCATAAAGTCCAACTATTAATTGCAAACACATTTTTATTTCCTGATATCTCTGCTGTCTGTAAAAATACAAAATGATGAAGCTACAAATTCAAAATACATTTGGTTCTTCTACTACTTTGTACTCCATAGTTAATCGGCATGAATAATACCCCTAACTGGGAAGCTAGTCGTAGCCAAGATAAGTGTATCTACCTAGGCCTCTGCCCTTCCTGAGACAGCCTCACCTCTGGTCATTGTCTTTATCCTCTAGTATTTTTGTTGTACCATTAGAAGGACGGCAGGCAATGCTTACATGCCAGGGGGAGTCTAGATGCAGTTCCAAGTTGTTAAGGCTGAGGAAAGTTCTTCTCTATAGGAACATTTTTCAGTAATAATTACCATAGGACAGAACAGGGTCATCCAGGTATAGAATGTTTGGTCTGTATAATTTATTGATTTATTATTTCAGTATCTTTTTAATCTAAACCTGTGCTGTCCAATATGGCAGCCACTAAATATGTGTAACTATTTAAATTTAATGAAAAATTAATAGTTAAAAATTCAGTTCCTTTGCTACATTAGTCACATTTTCAGCTACTCACATGACACATGGCTAGTGTGACATTTGACTGGATAGTGCAGAATTATAAAACATTTCCATCATCAAGGAAATTCTACTTGACAGTGCTGATACGCATATGGGAATTAAACAGGAATAGCCCATAATTTCTTTTAAATTAAAAGATATCCCACTCTACCACTATATAACTTAGTAAAAAGGAAAAAAATCCTAGTTTTTTTTTTTTAAGTCTCATAAAACAATTCTGTGGCAGAAAGGTTGGAAAAAGCTGGATTTGTTGGTAGCACCTACTTTTTTTTTCAAACTGAAGAAAACATGTGATCGCTCACATCTGTCTGCTCACCTGCTGCCAGACTGGGCTAGGCTGCCAGGATGCACTACAGATGTCCCCTGCCGCGTAGACGTCAGGAAGGGATGTACGCATGTGGTCATCCACTTTCAGGCCACCGTCTTCCCCTAGGTCAAACTAAACAATGTTCTTCATAAGCATGGTGGTAAGAAAAATGAAAAGTAAGATTTTCATTCTAAAGTAAAAAAACAAATCAAATATTTTATACCTAAGATATTTATTATTGATCTTTAATGAGAAACTGAAAAACAGCTATAAAGTTTAAACACTTAACCTGAATTTCCAGGGATCAAATTTATACTTAGACTCATAAAATTCTTAGAATTTCAACATCAAAAATACTTAATAATCATATCACTTCTCCACCAATAATTACAAAAACATTCCTCTGTTTTTATGAAGTTTCAAATGCTAAACAGTGAAGAATACAAGATGGTTTCTTTAGAAAATACACCTTTGGGTTCAGCGCCGGTAGTGCAGTGGTTACGGCACCAGCCATGTACACTGAGGCTGGTGGGTTCAAACCTGGCCTGGGCCAGCTAAACAACAATGATAACTGCAACAAAAAATAGCTGGGCATTGTGGTGGGTGCCTGTAGTCCCAGCTACTGGGAGGCTGAGGCAACAGAATCGCTTAAGCCCAGAAGTTTGAGGTTGCTGTGAGCTGTGATGCGACAGCACTCTACTGAGGGCGACATGGTGAGACTCTTTCAAAAAAAAAAAAAAAAAAAGGAAATATACCTTAGAGAATTCATAGCTAATATCAGACTCTTACCAAGCCTTAGATTAGTAATAACAGTTATGCTGGGATGGTAACAGTTTCAGTATTTAAGCAGTAAAGGATACTGTAAATCAAGACTTGAATATAAGCCAAATTGTTTACTACTGTCTTAAGTTACCGTTTTGTACTAAAATAATGAATAATTAATCATGCTTAAAAATCAGAGATCTTCATAAAGACTACTTTAAAAATATTCATAGCTGGACAAATAATTTCACTTACACTGTTGCCATGGAGAAAAGGTTCTATGTTTGGTGTAACTCCTGTAGCACTGACAATGAAATCACAGCCATAGATCTTTTCATTCGTCAATTCTACATACACCGGCCACATCTCTTAAAAAAAAAAACACAACAAAAATTTCATTCTCAAATGTGATCATTACCAAATGTCCATAGCATTATGTGAATACATGAGTAGAAACAAAGTAAAAAAGCAAGAAATGACTTTACAGTACTACCCTTTAATAATTTTTATAAGGCATATCTGCTAAAATAATTTTAATGCAATCAACATCATCTCCTTGTTTAAGGTATATTTAAAGACTATGGTATTCTAAAATGTTTTTACTTCAAATGTGGACATAAATTTTAACGAAGTAAATTAAAATTGATAATAACCCTCTAAATTCTTCAAAAATTGTTATTAATACTTTACATTTCACTTAACATTTAGTCCAACTAGGTTATATTCACTTTTTTTTAAAAATTTAGACAAGAGTCTCACTGTCACCCTGGGTAGAGTGCCATACTGTCATAGCTCACAGCAACCTCAAACTCTTGGGCTCAAGTGACCCTCCTGCCTCAGCCTCCAGAGTTGGTGTGACTACAGGCACCTTTTTAGAGGCAGAGTCTGAGTCTCACTCTTGTTCAGGCTGGTCTCCAACTCCTGAGCTCAAGGAATCTACTCTCCTTGGCCTCCCAGAGCGTTATGATGACAGGCATGAGTCAACACATCAGGCTCTTACACTTTTTAATTTTTTTTTCCTTCATTATTCATATTCGAACTCTAACATTCCCTTTTCCTGTGAAAAATTCACAGAATTAAGAACAATGGAAAATTTTATACACTGGTGGCTAAGCATATTTCTTTAAAAGATGACAGTTCTTTTAACACTCTGGGAGGCCAAAACAGGAAGATCCCTTGAGCTCAGGAGCTCGAGACCAGCCTGAGAAAAAGTAAGACCCCCATCTCGGCTAAAATTAGAAAAATTGGGCATGGTGGTGCGCACCTACAGTCCCTGCTACTCAGGAAGCTAATGTAGGAGGACTGCTTGTGCCCAGGAGTTTCAGGTTGTTATGAGTTAGGCTGAGGCCATAGTACTCTAGGTTGGGCAATAGAGGGAGACTGTTTCAATTTAAAAAAAAAAGGTGGTAGTTCTCATAGTAGGTGTGGAATAGGAGTTAAGAGATGTGCATCTGAGTCCCAAACATATATACATGTTCAGTCTGATTCTGGAGAAGTCATCTCACCTCTGCGAGGTTCAGGTTTCTGTTCTGTATTGATCTGTAGGATATTCTTCTTCATGGTCAAAACATTATGAACCCTGTTAAGATCTCTATATGTATTAGAAATCTTAGTGACTAGACTTATTAAATTATGGTTTTATTTTTACTTTTCATGTTTAATTTTTATATGGAAATTTGAAGTTATTTTTATATATAATTTGGCAACATTAAACAGTTTTCCTTTTAATTAAAGGGTTATATATTTTATTTCATTACTTACCCTTATCAGATGTAACTGACTTATCATCTTCTCTTGGAAAAGTCAAAGACTTTTTCTTTAAAATTCTAAATTCTTCCTGAAGGTAGATATTCTTTACTTCACACATATTTTCAATGTGAATCTTATGAGAAAACTAAAATAAAAAATACTGGTCACCATAATGCTTCCAGAAAGAATGGCTTGGGTACTGATCATGAAGATACTTGCAGAAACATACAGAAAACTTAATTAAATGAAAACACATCAGGTGCTCCCAAATAAGCCTCTCAATTTCCGTGCATGGAAGGAATGAGGAGAAATTCATTCAGTTCTTAAGAGATCTAGAAGGTACATTGGCAGATAGTGTATGGAGAGCATAGTTTTTAGTTTAAGCTCACTGTTAATTATATGTATTATTAAAACTAATTAAAATGGTTATGGACTATAAAACCTTATTCAGGGAAGACCTATCTTATTGTTATAATGTAGAACCTTACCTATCAGTTATAGTATTATCTATTTTAAATCCATCTAACAGCCTTTACAAGTTTACTGCATGCATCTAAAGTGACCTTGGAGAAAAGACCAAAATAGGACAAGTGTATTCACGAAAGTCTGAGTATGGAGATCTCTATCCCTGGTGTGAGGATATAGTGAAAAACAAAGTTTCTCCCACTGTACTCTCACAACACAGTATACATCTGTGACAAATGTGTGGGGGTTTCCCCACACACTAAGCAGGCAATAAATTCTCAGTGGATGCCAGCTGAGTGTCCTCTAATTTAATTCATTTCTGACCCTACCTGGAAACAGCATCAGAGTCCCACAGGACTATCTTCTACTTCCCACAACTCTAAGCCCAGATTGTTTCACCCACACTTCTGACTGACCAACTATATAAATCAGGGCTTGCATGACTTCTTCCTGTGTTCAATTAATTTGCTAGAAGGGCACACAGCACTCAGGGAAACACTTTACTTAGATCTACCAGTTTTATTGTAAAGGATATGTCAAAGAATACAGATTAATACATGGAACAAAGCATGAGGGAAAGTTTCCATACCCTGGAAGCACTTTGACCCTGGTCCTCTGGGTTTTTATGGAAGCTCCATTACACAGGCAAGTTGATTAAATCACTGGCCAACTAAACCTTCAACCCCTCTCCCTTCCCAGGGGACTGGGGATAGTGGAGCTGAAAACTACCAACCCTTTTATTCTGCCTTGGTCTATCTTGTGACTTGCCCCCATCCTGAAGCTACCCAGGGGCTGCCAGCCACTGGTCAGTTCATTAGCATACAAAAAGACATCACTTTGGAGCTCCAAAATTTTAGAAGTTGTATGTCAGAAAGCACCAAATACAGGCCCACCTCCTTTTACTGCACTTTATGCAGCCTTGAAGATACCACATTTTATATAAATTGAGGGTCTGTAACAACCCTGCCTCCAGCAAGTCTATTGGTACCATTTTCCCAGTAGCATGTGTTTACTTGGGAGTCTCTCTGTCACATTTGGTAATTCTTGGAATATTTTGAATCCTCTCATTATACCTGTTATGGTAATCTGTGATCAGTGATTGCTAACGTCACTCTTGTAATTGTCTTGGGGCACCAGGAACCACACCATGTAAGACAGTGAACTCAACTGATAAAGATTCTGTGTGTTCTGCCCGCTCCACTAATAGGCCATTCCTTGTCTCTCTCCCTTTTGTTGGGCCTCCCTATTCCCTGAGACACAGTAATACTGAAACAATAATTAAAAACCCTACAGTGGTCTCTAAGTGTTGAATTGATGAAAGGAAGCGTTGTACATCTGTCACTTTAACTCAAAAGCTAGAAATGATTAAGCTTAGTGAAGAAGGCATGTCAAAAGCCAAGAAAGGCCAAAAACTAAGCTTCTTGTGCCAAACAGCCAAATTGTGAATGCAGACAAAGTTCTTGAAGGAAATTGAAAATGCTACTCCAAGGATCACATGAATGATAAGAGAAACAGCCTTCCTGAGAAAGTTTGTGTGGTCTGGATAGAGGATCAAATCAGGCACAAAAGTCCCTTAAACTACAGCCTAAAAGGCCCTAACTTTCTTCAACTCTATAAAATCTAGAGAGGTGAGAGAGTTTCAAAGGAAAAGCTGGAGGCTAACGCAGGTTGATTCCTGAGGCGTAGAGAAAGAAGCTGTCTTCGTAACATAAAACCGCACAGTGAAATAGTGAGTGGTGATGCTGAAGCTACAGCAAGTTATCCAGCAGGTCTAGTTAAGATGCTTGAGGAAGGTGCCTACACTGAAGAACAATGTTTAATGTAGATGAACCAATAGAAGCAGTAGCCATCCAGGACATTCATAGCTTGAGAGAAAAAGTCAACTCCAGGCTTCAAAACATCAAAGGACTGGCTGACTTTGTTAGGTATTAATGTAGCGAATAAATTTAAGTGGAAGCCATGCCGTTTACCATTTGAAAATCCCAGGACTCTTAAGAACTGTGCTAAATCTACTTTGCCTTGTGTTCTACAAATGGAAAAACAAAGTCTAAATGATAGCACTTCTGTTTATAGGATGGTTTAGTAAATATTTTAAGCCAGCTGTTGAGAACAACTGTCCAGAATTAGATTCCTTTTACAATATTACCGCTCACTGACAATGCACCTAGTAACCAAAGAGTCTGATGGAGGCGTATGAGGAGAATACACTCTTCGTGCCTGCAACATACATTCTGCAGCCCATGGATTGTGGAGTCATTTTGACTTTTAAATCTAATTATGTAAGAAATGTATTTTGTGAGGTTATAAACGGCACTGATAGTGTTTCTTCTGACAGATCTGGGCAAAGTCACTGAAAATCTTTTGGAAAGGATTCACCATTCTAGATGTCATTAAGAACATTTAAGATTCATGGGAGACGCCAGCCACGTACACCTAGGGTGGCGGGTTCGAATCCCCAGCCCGGACCCGCCAAACAACGACGGCTGCAACCAAAAAA